GAGGCCGAGCGCGCGGCGCGCGACGGGCCGGCGGTCGCTGCCGAGGCCGACTCGGCCGCGGAGCGCGACGCGGCGGCCACGCGCAGGCGCCTGCGCGCGCTGATGTGGCGCTGCGCGGGCATCGTGCGTCGCGAGGCCGACATGCGCGAGGGGCTGGAGGAGGTGGCCGCGCTGCGCGCCGAGGCCGACGCGGGCGTGGCCGCGACCGCGCGCCCGGGGCGCGCCGCGCTGGAGCTGCGCAACCTGGCGGCGGTGGGCGAGGGCGTGCTGCGCGCGGCGCTGGCCCGCCGCGAGTCGCGCGGCGGGCATTACTGCGTGGACTTCCCCGAGGCGGAGGGCGCGGGGCCGGGCGCCGCGGCGGGGGAGCGGGTCCCGCGCGGGCGCCCCGCCCCGCCGCCCAAGAAGGCGCTGCGCGCGCCCCTGTTCCCCCCGGCGCCGGTGGCCGCCAAGAAGTCGCCGCGTGGTGAGCTGGCGCGTCGCCGCTCCGCCGAGACCTGAAGAAACTTGAGGGGTGGGAATGCATCCCACGACGGGGCGCGGCGACACGCGACGTCCCTGCCATCGTCACCCATCTGTACGACACCCCTTTTGCCACTTGGGACCCGAATGCCTCTGCCTCTGCCCTGCCCTGCCCCTGTGTAAGACCTGCATGCCTGGATGATTTCAGGGTCGGAACAGTGTTTGGAAGGAGGATCGGTAAATGCTGTGAGCCATGAGGGACAGGCAGGTGTGTTGGCCCTGCTGCGGGATAGCTAACAACGCGCGCTCTCCCCATCCTGCATGCCCAGGATCCCTCCAGACCCGTGTGATGGGTGCCATCGACAGTCTTGGGATATACATAATCTTTGTAGAATTTATGGGTTGATTGGGGCGCCATGGCTCGCAGGAAACAGGGCGCCCCACGTCGACAGAGCCCGGGCAGGACAGGGGATCGCCAGGATGTGTCGCTGCAAGGGCCAGGATCCATGCAGGAGCACTCCGATGGCCGGGTCGCTGATTCAGATGATGTAGAAGACGCATCGAAGGTGGCAGATGGACGTGCCTTGGCTTCCGTCAGCAACAGCGTGCGAGCTGTGGTGGCCGTCAGCCCTAAACCCCAGCCGTGGGTGCTGGGACCCCTCGTCCTCCAGGAGGCGCCTGTCGCCAGCCTCGCGGCTGGAAGCTCCATCTCACTCTCTGCACTGGACGATTGCATTGTTGCGGAGGTCCTTGCAGAGGATCCCGAGCCATGCCCAGCATGGAAGGCAAGGGGTAGGGTTTGGGGGGACTGGTGGACACCCGCAGGGCCTCTGGATCCACCAGCACTCGCATCACCCCTCTCCCTGCCTCCTTCACAGGAATGCATCTCCCTGCCATTAGTTGGCGCGGCCCATGCCATCGTCTCCCTGCTCAAGTCTGGCCATGCCGGCCTGTGCCTGGCTGGAACCCAGCCGGGCCTCCTCCTCTGCCTGGCCCCAAAGGTCCTCGAGGACCCAGCGCTGAACCCCCTGGACGCCTCGAGCAGGCCGTGGCAGTCCTCCCTGCTCCTGGCCCTGCGCAGCTTCGGCCTGGGACCATGGACCGCCCAGGTCCCCGCCGCCGAACCTCAGGAAGCCGAGGCCGGCGACGGCTCCGAGGTCGCTCGCATCTACGCCCGCATCCTGCCCTCCAAGACCGCGCCAGAGTTCGAGAGCCCCCTGCCGCCAGCCCTGCGCCCCACGCTGCCCGGCTACCAGCGCCGGGCGCTGCGCTGGATGCTGCAGCGCGAGGGTGCCGCTGCGACGGCGGCCAAAGAACACGGCGCCCCGCCCTGCAAGAGGCCCCGCGCCGACGACCTGCACCCGCTCTGGGCACGGGTGGCCACCGCGGACGGGGGGTCCCTGTTTGTGAACAGGTGCACCGGCAGACTCAGCACAGCCAGCTTCCCGACACCTAGCCCGCGGCAGGTCTGTCCCGAGAGCGGGTGGAGTGCGGTGAGGCTGGGGATTTTGGGGGATGTGGGGGATGTTCGATTGAGGCGTTCCTCTGATGCAGGCGGGCCGAGGTTAAATATTCTGAACACAACCCCTCCAATGCAGGTGTCTGGCGGCATCCTGGCTGATGAGATGGGCCTGGGCAAGACCGTGGAGGTGCTGGCCTGCATCCTGGCGCACCCCTACGGCGGTCCGGCGCCTGACCTGGAAGCGCAACGGGGCATGCGGTGAGGCGGATGTAAGGGCTGACGTAGTTTGGGAAGGTCCCAGAGAAATCAGGAGAGAAGGCTGCATGTGTGAATATGGATGGGGCACTGTCCGAGGTCTCGCGGGGAGCCTCAAATGTCCGTGGGACCTCCACACGACCTACTGAGCCCCACAGGACCAGCATCAAAAAGGAGAGGGTGGAGTGCCCCTGTGGGGCCAGGAGTGAGGCGGGCGCGCCATCCACGCTTTGGATACTGTGTGAGGCGTGCAATGCCTGGATGCACGGTCAATGCGTCGGGTATCCCAGGCACCCACCCAAGGGTGGGTGGGTGGGAGGGTTGTGCGGACTATGGCTGCGTCGGCGGATGGTGGAGAGGAAGTTCCATGCAGCTGGGGCTTTGCAATGTACGGTCTGCTCAGTGAGGTGGACAGGCAGAGGTGAGGAGAAGTTGTCTGTCGCACTGACCCTTGCTTGTCTCCTCCCGTTTGAACCCGATAACTAACAGGACCTTTCATTTGCGGGCGCTGCCAAGCCATCCTCTCCGGAAGGGAGATGAGTCATCCTTGCGGCGCAACCCTGATCGTGTGCCCCCAGCCCATCATGGAGCAGTGGTGGGGCAGGCAGAGGCTTAGGGGAGGCAGTTGGGTTGGGTGTGGACTGTGCAAGGGATGCTGGTGCAGCCGTGGGCAGGAGGGAGTGTCTCTGATTACATTCGAGGGTTATCTGGCATGCCGGCCCTTACATCAGCACGACATCAGCTACTGCTGCTGTTGCTCTGAGATTCCTGAAGACCTCTTCACCCAACACTGCAGGCAGCAGGAGATCCTCAAGCATGTGGATACCAATCAAGTCTCCATGCTAGTATATTCTGGCCAGACCCCCAGCAACATGGGTGAGCACCATGCAGCCAGGATGAGGGCGATTGTGGGCGAGGCGTGGATTGGAAAGGACAAACGATTGCTCCATCCCAGCCCAGTTCGCAAGCCATAATCACCGCAGGCGGCGACAAGGCCGGCGCAGTAGTGTCGGCGCTGGATCTGGCCGGCGCCGACATCGTGCTCACCACCTACGACGTGCTGAGAAAGGATGCTTGGCGAGTAGACGGGCCGGAACGCCGGCTGCGGCACGCCAAGAAGTACGAGGTGGGTTCTTCATCTTGATGCGGAAGGGCGCGGGGGGGTAGGTCGGTTTGGAGGGGAATGTGATTGGGTATGCCAGTCGACGCTGCACCTCTTGGCGCTTGCCGACGACTGCCGATACGATGTATCCCCTTCTGGCAGGTCCTCAAGACGCCGCTCACTCGCCTCCACTGGTGGAGGGTCGTGCTGGACGAGGCACAGGTATGACACGAGGGTCAGGGTACTGTATGGCCGCGGCACTTGCCTGCCTCCCTCGCACCCTATTTACACGGCCAAATTGCCTGCTCTGAACCCTGTACCTATATACACAAGCTGCACAATCCCCCAACTCATATCCCTGCCCTCTCCAGATGGTGGAGGGCGCGGCGTCCCGGGCCGCCGAGCTGGCGCGCTCCCTTTCTGCCACGCACCGGTGGTGCAGCACCGGCACCCCGCTCTCCAAGGGCCTGGACGACCTGCACGGCCTCCTCGCCTTCCTGGGCGCCGAGCCCTACGCGCAGCGGCGCTGGTGGGAGGCGCTGGTCACGCGGCCCCTGGCCGGCGCCTGCGCCGGCGCGGCAGACCTTGAGCGGGGCCGGGCCTGGCGCGCCGCGCTGCGCCTGCTGGACCCGGCCTCGCCCGCCGGGCTGATGTGGCGCAACACCAAGGCGCACCTGGGCGCGGAGCTGGGCGTCCCGCGCCAGCACGGGCACGTGCGCCGCCTGGACCTGTCTCCCATCGAGGCCCACTTCTACGCACGGCAGCACGCCGACTGCCTGCAGCGTGCGCGCGGCGCGCTGCCGCGCGCGGCGCTGGAGCCGGGCGGCAGCGGCCCGGAGGACAGGCTGCTGACGGCGCGGGAGGAGAAGCGGGTGCTGCTCCCCCTCCTGCGCCTGCGCCAGGCCTGCTGCCACCCCCAGGTGCGGGTTGCTGCTGTTGGGAAGGGGGGGTCTGGAATGTCTGAACGGAGGGGTCCGAGAGCAATGCTCAAAGGTCATGGTACTTCAGAGAACTGGTAATCATCGATTGCACGGCGGACACTCAGGCAGGGTGGGCCAGTCAGAGGGGAATGTAGGTGCTGCAGTCCCCCCCCGCACCCTCAACCCCATGACTCACCGCAGGTGGGCACCGGTGGCATGCGCAGCCTGGCCCTGCACCGGGTCCCCATGTCCATGCACGACGTCCTGGACGTCATGATCTGTGAGCTCCAGAGGGTGGCGGGGCGATGTGCGTTTGCACTGGGAACGTGGGGTATCGGTTCAGGGTCGCAGCGCATACTCCACGGCCACGAGCTTTCCTCGTTCTGGGCAGCCAGCTTTCGAGGGGCCCTTCCCAACGTCCCCCTCCCCCTGCACTCAGCCAAGCAAAGAATAGAGGCGGAGGACGCGCAGCGCTTGCTCCTGGCGGCGCTCAACGGCCTGGCGGGGCTGCAGCTGCTGGCGGGGCGGCCGGAGGAGGCGGCGGCCACCTACCGCGGCGTGCTGGCGGCCGCCGAGGCCAACGCGCGCCTGGGCGTGCGCGCCGACGGCCTGCAGCGCCTGCACGCACTGCACAATCTGCAGGACGCGCTGCGTGCCGCGCGCGACGGCGTGCCGCGCACGCTGCGCGACGACGTGCTGACGAGGCAGGCGGAGGAGCTGCGGGACGCGTACGCGGCCGAGTCGGTGGCGGGGCTGGCGGCGGCGCGCGTCGCGCAAGGAGCAGCGGCGCGCGAGGCGGAGGCGGGCGCGGGCGAGGGGCTGGGGGATCTGAGGCCCGAAGAAGCGCGTGCCCTGGAGGCGGCCTGGCACGTCGAGGCAGTGCGGCTGATAGAGGGCGCAGGCCAGGCGGAGGTCGCGCTGGCCGCGGTGCGTGAGACGCTGGCGGGCGGGGAGGCATACCAGAGGGCTGGCGCGGCGACTGGGGGAGGGCTGAAATCGAACGCCCGCTCCGACTCTCTGAACGGTCTGGCCCTGGTGCTGGGCCGTGAGTTGAGGGAGTTGAATGACGCGCGGGAGGCCGCTCTGGCTGAGCTGGCCCGCCTGGACCGCGCCTGTGACCGCCCCGGACCGGACCTCGTGCGGCTGGCGGGCAGCTGCGCGCGGTGCCGCGCCGAGACGGCCGTGTCCGGCGCCACCTGCGCGCACTGTCGCCTGGACGAGCGCTTCCTGCGGTGGGAGGTGCGGGCCTTCAGCCTGTCGGTGGCCGGCGCGGCGGGCGTGGGCGGCGAGCAGGCGGCGCTGCTGGCGCAGCGCGCCGCGCTCCAGCGCGTCGGGCGGGGCGGCCTGGGCGAGGCGGCTTGGGAGGGGGCGGGTGAAGAAACTGACCCCGGCGACGCGCGGCGGGGGCCGGGGCGCGTGGACATTGCGCGCAAGGCCTCGGGGACGGAGGTTGCGCTGCGCGCGCTGCGCGCCGCGCTGCAGGCGGCCGCGCGACGCCTGGGCGGCGCCGCGGCGGCGCGCGCGGCGCTGGCCCTGGAGGCCGCCGAGCGGCAGCTGGACCGCCTGGAGGCGCAGCGTCGGCTGTACCTGGCCTCGGGCGCGCTGGGCCTGGCCCAGCGCGCCAGGCTGTACGCACTGGACGAGCTGGACATGTGTGTGGGCAGGATGAGGTGAGACTGGGACCTGGTGTTGGGGGTGGTGTGGGGGGTGGTGTGGCGATTATGGGCCTGCTGGGGGTAGGGATGCTCGGGAGGGGGGAGGGGGGCGGCGTGATCGAGTGGGCATGTGTGTGTGGGTGAGTCCTGGGGTTTGTGTTGTGCTCCAGCCCAGGCCAGGGATGGAGGGCAGTATCCCCATGAAGGGCCATGCCCCCACGACCCCCCCCCTAAACAGGCTTGCAGAGCCCGGTGAGGTGCTGAGGCCGGGGGACGAGCTGTACAAGCTGGCGGGCGCCGAGGCGGTGGCTGTCCGCAGCGTGGTGGGTGGCGGGGAAGATGGGGCAGAGGGGGTATCCCACGACAACACCCCCCTTTCCTGCCCGCCGCTGTGCAAGAGGGGGGTGGTCTTTCGTACAAGCTCCCGCTCCCTGCCCCGCAGGAGCTGACGCACGACCGGGCGGCGGCGGAGGCGGCGCTGCGGGAGCGGCTGGGCACGCTGCGCTACCTGAAGACCCTGGGCCGGGGCCCCGATGGGGGCGCGACGGGAGAGGCCTGCCCCATCTGCCACGATGCGCTGGGGCTGCAGCAGGCCATGCTGCCGTGTGGGCACCGCCTCTGCCCCCGCTGCTCCGTGGGACTCGCCGAGCACCGCTCCGCGGCAGTGAGCAGTGGGGTGGGAGGGGGGTGGGGCCTGATTCGGCGGGGGCACTGCGGAAACTGCCGTGCCGGGAACGTGCTCATTCCAACCAGGTTTGGGAAGAGATGTCTGCGGCTTCAGGTGCCCACATCTGCAATCTCTGTGTTGCATCGCGCGATTACCTGCCCTTCTGTCTATCTGGGAGGCTGGCAGCCCCACCAGAAACCCGGTCTGTCTCCCCCATCGAAGCTCACCAAGCACCCACTCTGCATGCCGCAGGGCGGCAAGATCCTGTGCCCCTCCTGCCGTGCGAGGACGCAGCTGGCGGAGATCGCCTACATAGACACCAGGGAGGACGTGGGAGGGAAGGAGGAGGCTGGCAAGAAGGCACGGCCCATCAAGGGCTCCTACGGCACCAAGGTGTGACTGGCAATGGGGG